GCCGAAGGCAGATACGCAACGACTGAGCCACCCAGGTGCCCCTCCCAGAGTCTTCTTAATAGTATTAATTTATTTAACAAGTCTCTTTACTTTGGAGTCGGTTTTTTTTGCCAGCAAAAATAAAGGTACATCTGAGTTCCTCAGGACAAAAGATCAAAACTTTGTGAATACCAGAGTTTAAATGAATGCGTTTCTTGCCAATTTAGTTTTCGTTGACCTTGGGATTTTTTTTCCTATCCTTGGCTACACCTCATGGCTCATTTCATTACTTCCTCTTCTTTGTCCTTAAAGCTCTTTGTTAGCCATCCTGCAACCAAGCCTTGGCTTCATGCAATCACTGAGTTTCTGTCTGCCTGTTCCCCAGCTGCTGAGGAAAATCACACAACAAAGTCTTCACTTGGGTTCTACGTACTGGTCTGGAACGAAACCCAGCAAGCTGCTGAAGGGGCCAAAGCTGGCGTTCTCCCCGCACAGGTGTCAAGGTTTGATGAGCTACTGTAATGTACCTACCAACAGCTCTGTCTCTAAGAGGCAGCTATAATTAACTCCACAATTAATATTCTATTTTATTATGATTTTTTAAAGTTTTATTTATTTATGTGATCTCGACACCCGATGTGGGGCTTGAACTTAGAACCACAAGGTCAAGAGTCACATGTACTAACAACTAAACCAGCCGCACCCCAACAATTAATATGTTAAATCATCTAAGCTGAAAGATTTGGGGACCTGGGCAGCTCAATCGGTTAAGCAACCGACTCTTGGTTTTGGCCCAGGTCGTGATCTCAGAGATATGGGATCAACCCCCGCATCAGGCTCTGCGCTCAGTGAGGAGTCCGCTAGAGATCCTGTTCTTCTCGTTCTCTGCCCTGCCCCCTTGCCATGTGCACAAAACCTCTCTCTGAATAAATAAATAAAATAAAATAAAACAAAGTCAAAGATTTATTTTAAATGCCTAACTGACTTTTCCACTTCTTTCTCATTTATTTACCTTCTGGTTTTCATTCCCTATAGTTTAAATATACACGTGTATATATGTGTATGTATGTGTGGAGGTATGTGCGGACACATACATGGACACACACACACACACACAGACACACACATACCTCGTTTTCTGTTCCCTGAGCACAAAGAAAAAGAACACAACCTTTTTTTTGCCTAGTTCTCAGGTTGGAAGAAAAGAAGTTTAAATTTTTTAAAGTGCCCGGACCGCATATAGCCAGTCCTCCACAAATGTCTGTGGAAGGACAAAAGAAGCACAAAGAAAGTATAAATAAGACATAGAAACTCAAGGAACTGAGTGTTCAGCTTAGAGAAGAGAAGATGAAGGGATAAAGACAGTGGTCCTTCAGGGGCGCCTGGGGGGCTCAGTCAGTTAAGCGACTGCCTTAGGCTCCGGTCATGATCCTGGGATCCTGGGGTCCTGGGATGGACTCCCGCATGGGGAAATCCCTGCTCAGCAGGGAGTCTGCTTCTTCCTCTCCCTCTGCTGCTCCCCCTACTCATGCTCTATCAATCAAATAAATAAATAAATAAATAAATAAATAAATAAATAATTTTTTAAAGAAAAGACCGTGGTCTTCAAGTATTTGAGCAGCCGTCATGCAGAAGATCAAAGGATTCGTTTTGCACAATGTCCAGGGGGAGACCTCAGAGAGATGAGCTTAAGTTCCCCTGAGGGACAGTCCATCAGGACAAAAAACAGCCTGTTTTATGTGTATAATATCCTAACGACTTTCAGTTAAATAATACTTATCTCGAAGGCTCCTTAATTTAAGATAGAAAAGTTCTGTGCTCTTGCTACCAATTTCTAGGAGGATTTAGACAAAATCTAGCTGACATTCGCCAGTCCTGTTGGAGCCTGCTGAAGTGGGAAGTCCCCTCGCTGGGGAGGAGTTTAAAATTGGACCCTTTCTGACTGTAATTCTAGAACTATTAATGTCCTCTCTTCCAGATAACCCCCAAACAAGTTTAAAAGCTTTGCCTAAAAAAACAAAAAGCAAATAAATACAATAAATGCTTGTTTTATGAGCTTCTATGTATAATTTTTTAGTAATTAATTTCTAGTTCCTTATGGAATATCTATTGGACCCCATCTGGAAAGAGGCTTTCCTTCTGCATTGGTGAAACCATCCAGGTCCATCCCACCACCAACACACACACACACACATACACAGGCAGGGACCAGATTTCCCCACGCAATGCGGTAAAGCCTCTGCTCTCTCGGAGGTCTCATTCCCACCAGGAAGGAAGAAACTGTAATTAAATTCACATCATCACTGGTATTTCCAATGAACTTTCCTTTGCCCAACTAAGACCAGATCAGTTATAAGAATTTTTTTTTTTTTAACCAGGAGCTTAATTTGTGAAAACCATCCCATTCATTCCTTCTTCTGGGCCTCAGATTTGCCATCTTTAAGATGGGGTGAGATCTGTTTGTCCCCGGAACCTACTTCACAGAGTTGGTTACACAGATCAAATGAGGACGCGAACACTAATGGAAACCTTCTAGTGCTACCAATCACAGGTGGGGATTGTTTTCCAGGTAAATTTTAAAAATAACTACAAAAGCAGCAGTGAATTTTGTTTTTTAATTACTTAGACAAGAATTACATGAATACAGCCTGCTTGACTTTTTCTTAAAAAGCAATGTAAGGTCTCAGATCCAATGATTTTCAATTTTCTTCTTGGGGTTGACAAGCTGATGGACTCATAGCATGACCTTAGAGATAAAAAAGGCCCCGGAGGTCTGCCAACTTACAGTGAAAACCCAGATGACTGCATACACTGTGTCCTATCATGTGCTTTTGAAGGAGCCCTTCAACTACCTCCTACCTTCGTGTGTCTCCTACCGAGGTCCCTAAGTCCTGATAGTGGCCCCCTGCCTCTCCAGCGGCCCCCTGCCTGCCTCATGAGTCATCTTCTCCCTTTCAAAGTGCCCACAGAGTTCGACAAGGGCTTCTGAGTCCTCCTTCTCCTCACCATCATCTCCTGCCTGGGTATCATTCATCAACCGAATAAAAAGCCCAGACGAGGAAACAAAGCATTTGATGTGGTTAATTAAGAGCATGGAAGCCATGTAACCTTTAGGGGGAGGATGAGGAGTGGGAGGAAAACCCATGGAAGGTTTTTACAGTTATTGGAAAGCCAGTTTCTCAAAACATTGGCCTGGGCACGAGACGATACGTGGGGAATGTGATTTAGTTTCTTTCTCTCCCAGACTACGTGAAGACAGTGGCCTTACCATTGACCGAATTTCTTCGCCATCTTAGGTAAATTTAAATTAAAATGACCTGAGGGTACCTTCTATCTCCAAATAGGTTCCCCCCGCTACACACACACCTGGAGCTGGAAGACAGCAAGTCCTAATTAACAGAGGACATCAGCAGCAAAAACAATTGTCTGTGACATGGCCCCGCAGACCAGACCCCAGGGAAGGGCTTGCAGAGGTGGTACCCTTAACACTGGTCTCCTTAGCGCTGTGTTGGTAGTAGTAAAGACTAAGAAAAGGAAACAATCTCTGGCTGATAAAATATCTCCCACTGGTTGAGCTCAGAGGCAACTGAAAAGAAGAGTGGCACCTCTAGGGGATCACCCAGCCAGACCATCAGGGATTAAGGGAACTAATGTCTTGGATAGGAACTAGCCAGAACCCACCCTATAGAGAAGACACAGAAACCCTCCTCTTCCTGCGAGCCCCTCTGTCTTTCTCCTAACAGGTGCCAGACAACCGGTTGCTTTAATGCCCCCTTTTAACCCCTCCCCCCAAAAAAACATAATAAGCTTTGAGAGGAATAACCCAATTCAACAACCCCCATCTCTCACTTTCTGACAACAGACTTGATCACAGAAATATTCTTTAAGAAATAGTTACTTGGGGCACCTAGGTGGCTCAGTTGGTTAAGCAACTGCCTTCGGCTCAGGTCATGATCCCGGAGTACTGGGATCGAGTCCTGCATCGGGCTCCCAGCTCCACGGGGAGTCTGCTTCTCCCTCTGACCTTCTGCCCTCTCATGCTCTCTCTCATTCTTTCTTTCTCAAATAAATAAATAAAATCTTAAAAAAAAAAAGAAATAGTTATTTTGTTCCAATAGTGATTAGTATATACATCGGCTAATGAAAACCAACAGATCGCAAACACAGCTTAATGGATGGCAGGGATAAAGTCCCCTTCCCTCTAGATGGCCTCTGGCAGTGGGACGATTGTCCTGGTATTTTTCACCCGAGGCCCTGGCTACCAGCTCATGTTCTCAACGAGGACTGTGAAGAAGGCCAACAGCTCTGCTCATCAAAAATGCAATTTCCCATACACAGAGGCAATAGCACAAAACTGTTTTCTTTCATTGCCAAATGAATTGTGTTTGGTAATCTGAAAGCATCATAAACCGGAGAGATACAGTCCCCAAAAGGATCAGGCATTAGATACGGGCTGCGATGCAGAGAGAGCCCTGGGTGGGTACAAACGGGATGGTTGCTCCGGGAACCCGGGCAAAGGGGGCAGATCCTGGGACCTGAGTTCATAATCTGACCCTGGGGTCTGCCTTGTGGATTGCTCGTTATGTTCCACCAGACCATTTCCTCGCCCTCTAGAAACAGATGCATCCGTGTGCGGTAAACAGCTTCGCTGGTAACTCCCCTTGCACTCACACTTCCTGTGTAAGGAAGCCACAGCGGTTCCCCCAGACCAACCACAAGCAGCCAGCAGGCCTGCCGCGAATGACCTCACGCTGGAGGGAAAGAGCACGGCTTCGCACAGACGTCCCTGTAGCCATCGTCACGGAGGCTTTCTGTAAAATGGGCCAGTACTGCTGAATGGATGGGGCTGTGGGTGAACTGAAGGGCAAAATATCTATGTGAACTACCTACTTTAAATTCTTTGTCTCCTTTCCATGATTGGACCCTACTCCTCCTATCTGTCTTACTCTGTTTGAGCTGCTATAACGAAAATGCCCCAGACCGGTAGCCATCAGTCTACAAACGAGAAATTCCCTCCTTACCCTTCTGGAGGTTGAAAAGTCCCAGAGCAGGGTGCCAGGGGACTTGACGTCTCATGGGAGCCTGCTTCTGGGTCACAGAGGGATGGCCGTCTTTCTGCTCAGTCCTCGCAAGCAGAAGCGGCGAGGGAATGCTCTACTAACTCCATCCATGGGGGTTCCACCCCCTTGACCTCATCTTCTCCCAAAGGTCGCACCCCCATAGACCATCTCACTGATGATTAGGTTTCAACACAGGACCGTTGCGGGGCACAGACATTCCGTCTACAGCGTCATCTTAATCTACGGCTAAGCCAACCCAAATCCCGCACAACAGGCAGGCCCCCTTCCTCGCCGTCACTCCCTTCCTATGCAGAAGTAATTCCTGACTCTGATAACCTTCTGAGAGCTGGCCACTGCCTCCCCCCACCATCACCCCTGTGCCTCCCCCCAATTGGCTCATCCCACCCTGCCCCTTCTCAACGAAGCCAACTCTAATTACCACGAACTCGAAGCCACTGCTTTTGTCTCTGAGATATCACTGTACTTTCAATCCACGACATCTAATTACAACTTTCCTGAACATTATTGTCTGCAGTCTATGTAATGTCGTCTTCTCTCCTGAGCCCCAGAAGCTCCCCTAAGGCAGATATTGCTTCTTACACTTTTGTTTTTTGCAGACCTCACAGCACCTTAAAGACTGTCAGTAAATGGTGCAAATGAATGCACTTTGTAAATAGAAGGCAGTACATGCATGGAAGAGATTCTTCCTTGCCATGAGCCAGGAAGGCTTGGTTACTATTGATGCTGAGACCTTAGCAGTACCTTCCAGATGGGGAAAGGGTGGATGGACACTCGGCCAAGAATCCTGATGGGTGTGACCATGATCAGAGGAGGCTGACACAACAGCCTCCTGCAAAAGCAAAAGACATCCAGGCCGTCTGCTATGGGGACAGGGGGCTCTGGGGCAGCAAGTCCATTTACAGGCAGACCTCAACCTCTGGCTTAAGGTCACCGTTGAAGCCTTGAGGAAAGGAACACTCAGCAGTTATAGGGAGCGAGTCAGGCGAGGCTCTTGGAAAACAACGACGAAGCCAACACGTAGGAAGCAGGACAGTTAAAACAAAACAAAACAAAAACAAAACCTCACCATCACGTGGCAGGCAAATCGAGGGGCCAGGATTTGAACCCAGGCAGCCCCACTCCAGAGGCGATCCTCTTAAAACCCTTCCCTGTAACCCATTTCAGGACCTCGTGTCAGAGCCCCAGAAGTCCTTGAGACAACCCCACACCCCCGGCAGCCCTGCTCCAGGGCCGGCGATGCCAGATCCTCTGGAGTTTGGGAATCACCCACCTTCAGCCGGGTGCTCTCGCCTCTACCTCCAAATACTCTTTGCCTGCCCTCTCAGTTGGACCTTTGGACCCACCTGGATTTGATGTTCATTTCATATTTTTGTTCGTCCTCGGTTCCCTTCTCAGTTGGTCTAGAGCCAGCCCTACTCTGCTTCGACGATAAAAATCCAGTACCTCAAGGGATCTGCTTGTTCAGGAAGGAATCTGAAAGCAGAGAAGGCTTCGCAAGTGGAAACCCAGGCAGTTGGCGGGGCAAATACAGCATGGTTATAAAAACACTTCATGGGCCCATGGAGGCCTGGGTTTATCGCAGGCAATACAGAGAATGACCTGTGGCAGCACAGAGGATGCAAAACCCCTCCCTTTCCTTCTTGCTCCCCTCTGTGCAGAGAGCGACTGAGATCCAGCCTTCCTCTATCAAGGTGGGCTCCAGTACGGCCATGAGGGGACCCCATCTGCAGACTGCACCAGTCAGGCCAGATGGAAACAGCACAGCCCTACCAGCAGGGCCTGACTGGGGCGGAGGGGATAGGGGTCCCTCTGAGGGAGAAGGGATAAGACATTGCCAGGCTCCAACTACAGACATGGAAGGAAACTTGGCATACAGACTACACTGAACATGACCGGCACCAAGTCCGAAACCTAGTGCGCTGGACTGAATGCTTGTGTCTCTCCAAAAGGCACATGTTGGAGCCCTAACCCCCAATGAGATGGTAGTAGGAGGCAGGCCTCTGGGAAGTCATTAGGTTTAGATTAGATCCTGAAGGCAGAGTCCCTCACCACAGGATGAGTGTCCTTAGTCCAAGAGGAAGGAACACCAGAGCTTCTCACCACCACGTAAGGATACAAGGAGAAGGCGGCCATCTGCATCTCTCACTGAGAACGGAATCAGCTGGTGCCCTGATCTTGGGTCTCCCAGCCTCCAGAACTGGGAGAAATAAATGTCCATTGTTTAGGTCACCCTGCTGGCTATATGGTATTGTTGTGGCAGTCTGAGCTGACAAAAACACCCAGTCTGACGAAATATGGAAGTCTCGTGCCCAATCCACACCAGAATCTGCTTAGAAAGTTTCATCCAAGCAGGTCCAGTGGGGGAAAACACAGGAAGACTGTGCTTATTAGTCCTTAGTGCTGGACAGGGGTCCTGGAGTTCATTCATAGTGATATGAATAATACCAAGTGAAAGGATCTTGCAACTACAAGGGCAGAACATGAAAGGAAAAGCCGGTCAAGTGCATGAACCCCTCATCATGACAGGCAGCCAGGTGCGCGGCATACGACAGAACGGCTTCAGGTGCCCTCACTGGAGGGGGACGCCCACTTGCCAAAGCTGGTTCTGGCCGGCTCGGTCTCCATCTCCACGTGCCCGGCGCGAGGGTGAGGGAACACCAAGTAGAGACTGCCGTCTCCCCCAGGGGGGAGCTTGGAAAGCAGAGAAGGGTGGCTATTACTATTAATACTTTGTAAGTGAATAGTAAAAGGAAGGAAGGTCCTATTCTCCTCAGTGCTAAGGGCTGCATGCCAGAGGTAGAAAAGAGACCCAGAAGAGAACCTTTATTTCTATTCTATTTCTATGAATGAAATGGTTTTACGATTTTTTGCACCAACACTCTTGGGGGAGAGATGTGTAGACATCACCTAGCAGCCCCGGACAAGTAAGTTGTCCTGGCCCTGACCTCTCCCAGCTGTGTGACATTAAACGAGCCGTTCTAGACCACTACACCTCGGTAGCCTCATCTTAACACGGAGATAACTGTACTTCCCTCGCCAAGCTCCTCGGGGTGTTCTGAAGATCACGTAGGAATACAGATGTGAAAGTGGTCAGTAGCCCATAAAGTACCATGGAAAGAAGGGGTTTACTTTCACGGGTACCAGAAAATCCTAACACCATCCCCTCCAGTCTGAAGATACTTCCGGTAGGGTGAGCCGGTGACTTCTTTCTCTGACCAACCCCTCGGGATGACCTTTGGTCTCTGCTCCCCTAGGATCCGTGGTGTCTAGGGCTTGGCTGACTCAGACCTGTGTTTCTTCATTTTCCCCAGTTTGTTAGAGTTAGTACTGCTGCTCCCCTGAAGCTATGGCGCACTGGGTGGCTTTGAAATTCTGGCACCATCTGTAAAAATTTCTGCCTATTTAGTTGGCATCAAGTTCTTAATGGTACTTAGTGGTTCAGAATTAATTTCCCCACCACAGAATTATCCAGGACATTCCACGCCTATTTATAGTTTTTTCAGGCCTCCTTGACTGCTGGCTTTTACTCCAAGTCCCTAGGCTATCTCTTTTAACAGGAAAAAGGGTTTGGGTAGCAATTACCAAGGTCCAGCTTTCCAACTTAGCCAAGAAACGATGACCTTGGCAGAGCAGGGCAAAGGCAAGGACGAGGGAAAGAAACTAACTATTTGCATACCTCAGCCACAGAACTGACTGGAACAGTACTGAAAACACAAAGACGCTAAGGTCAACGTCTAGACATCTAGAGGTCAACGTCCCATCCCCCCTTGTTCATGCATAGGTCATGACTCCACAAAACCTACACTTGATACAATGAAAGGGGATCTGCTTCTAGAAATAAGCATTTCAGGGACCCAGAAACAGCACCATCTCATGTAAAGGTACAACCTTAATGAACTGAGAGGCAGAAGTGGAGGCTGGCTGGTGATGGACAGGTTCAAGGTGAATAAAACCTGCCACGTGTTGAAAGGTCCACCGGGTAGGGAAATCGGCTCATGGTTGGAGCCTACAGGTGCCCAAATCTTATTTTCAGCTCCGGTCACTTGTGTCACTGTGCCCCGGGCTCCCAGTGTGTGAAACACTGACCGTTATTCAAGCCCCTCTCTGCACCCTGCCTACGGGTTCCCTGAGCTGAGCTCTCCTGGGGGTGGACAGGAAACTCCTGAGAACGTCGCCCATCTGTCGCTTCGCCCCCTAGTGGCTGGTGTCACACGTTTTGAGATCAGTATGGAATCCCTCCACATTCCCTTAAGAATGCAACCAGTTGGGAAGTTTAGGGCCCAAACATAAGCAGATGTATAAGAGCTTAGTGTCCTAAGGCAACTTGAAAATGCCAGAAGATTTTCCAGAAAAAAAAAAAAAAAAAAGATGCCAGAGAGCCTGGGCTGAAAAAAGTAGAGAGAAGTGGTGGCCCTTAGAGCTTGGGTTCCCTGGAGGACAGTGGTACCCCTTTCTGGGGATCTGCAGCCCCTCTCTGACCTTCTGGGGACAGCACTGATTACTCACTTACACCTTCCATTATTGCAGCTGATCAACACTCCAGGGGCCAATCTCCCAAGAAAATCCCTGGAGGGAGGTATGCTCCCCTCTTCCCCCTGTACAACTTTAATGTAAAATGTGTCATATACTATGATCATTTTCACAGCATTTATCTGTTCGGTTCATAAGCGTGTATTATAATAGTCTGTTGGGGTCCAAAGAGGTTTGCCGGAATTCCTCAACGAATGACTGTGGATAAGAACCCCATTTATTACATACACATGCATACCCACATCTGAGCAACTACAGGCTTTGGTGTCGCCCCTTTCCACCGAGTACAACTGCAGCTTTAAGACAGAGGGGAGAATTAGACAGAAAATGAAAGAAAAAAGAAAGAAAGGGGGGGGGGAGGAATGACATTTCCCCCTGCCTTTGAAGTGTCTGAACATTTACCAGACAAATTGGGAAAAGGACAAACTGTGGGCAGCCCAAAAGCCAGAGTGAGTGCCTGAAGAAGGTCCCCAGATCAGAACAAAGATAGAAGTC